AATAGTATTAACCTGAAGTTTTTATTTTTTTTATTTTTTATTATACATTTTTTTTAAAAATATAAAATAATAAATATTATATGTTAGTTGGAAGAGTTGAACTTGACTCGCATTGAAGCGACTATTTTACTTTTCAATAATAATCTCGCTTGCAAAAAAAAAAAAAGTAACCAATGTGTAAAAAGGATTATGCAAGGCACATGCTACAGTGAATCCAAATTTGTCGGCTCTATCTAGTCGTATAACAACATCACATGTAATGGCTTGCAGAGTATCTTTTTTTTGCTAATATCAAAAAAAAAAAAATATATATATATATATATAATAAGATTAAATTAATTATCGTTAACTCTAGTAACGTTGATAAAGAAAAAAAAAACAAAACAATAAAAGGAAACAAACTTTTAGTGTTAAATAAAAACAAGCAAACTTTTAGTTTAAATAAGTCTTTTATCCTAAACTTTACTCGAGAAGTATTTTAACAAAGATTCGGGTCAATTTGATTAAAATTTATTTTCTTTTTTTTTTTAAAAAAAAAAGCATTCAACTTTATAAAATAGCAATCCTCACTTGAGTAGGAACGATAATGTTTTTCTCAATAGGATCTACTGCTCAAATCGATCTTTTTGAAGAAATTGATCTTTGTTTCTGGCAATTAATTTACCACCATAATGATTTCGAGTTCTGTGCAACTTCCCTCACAATCATGCGTTATGTGATTCTTTGTCCCAAATTTTGAAAGTTTCAGGAATTTTTATTTTATTTTTTTTTTTTTTTGAGGTTGATTTAAAAAAAAAAAATTATTTTCTATTCCCAAATATTCTTTGAATTCACATGTCCTTGTGGAGCTATCTTTTTTTTTTTATCTACATTACAATATTAGCAGCTGGCTATTCTAAAATTACCAAGGAAGAGCTTCATAAGATGAGTATTGAAAGCCATTGTGAACCATTGTAGCTCAAATATTGGGTTGGTAACTCTCCACCGGTAATACTAAATAGTTAAACCAAAACAACGTGATGAAGTATACATTTTGTAAAACTATCTTTTCAAAATTCAATTGTCATTAAGTTTTTTTTAGTGTTTTTTTTTTATTTTAAATAAAGAAGCATCAATAAACTAGCTTTTTTTTTTAAAAAAAAAAAAGCCAACAAAAAAATGTTATTGTGATACTTTTAATTGCTCTTCTCAAATTCATCTGCTCAATAGTTGATAGGCATGCTATAAAACTGCTTTAAACTTCTTTTTTTATTCAGAAAGCAATCTCCTCCCTTATGCAACTTTAGCAGTAGCGTAATCTTTTTCATACCTTCAATTGAAAGCACATAAAAAGGTAACAAGAATAAAGAAAAGAAATCTGCCCAGCATTATATCAAGATATGTCTTCCCCCAAAAATAATAAAGCATAGTCCATGACTAGTTTGAAACAAACCTTAGAAATAATATGGTCTTCAGGTTGTGTAAATCATAGACATATAGGTACACCAATAGTCTAGCGAATTCCCAGAACCGTGGCGACAAAGCAACCAATGCAAAGTGGTGTGTGTGTATGTGTCTGAATGTAACTAGATGTAAGCTGACTTTACTATTAGCCAAAAAATAACGGTACTCAGCTTTGACTTTGTCCCCACTCATCCAGTCACTACTTTTGGTCAAAAACATGAGAATCAAAAAAAAGAAACACATGGCTTTGAGATAAAAAAAAATTGTGCCTGCGTACGTGGATCCAGAGTTATAAGAAAAAGAAAAAGTAGATAGATATCAAGGATAAATAGATACAAATTCCGCTTTACTGGTTCATTTAATTGCAGCTTTATGGTGGTTGTCAAAAAAAAAATATGTATAATACAAATGCTGAACCCTGTCATTTTGATTTTGATGGGAATGCATGGAGAAAACCAAAAAAAAAAAAAAATTAATGCTCGAATTTTGAAATAAAGAAAAAGGCTCTCCAGGATTTTTTTTTTATTTTTTCTTTGAAAAAAAAAATGCATCGAAAGCCTTTAAAAAGCAACTTAAGATAGCATTCTTTGGTTAAAAACAAGGCTGTTGAAGCAAGCCAAAGCCGTATTTTGTGCTCGTGAAGTTCTTAGTTTAGCCTTACTGTCAACGCTTTGGCCTTTATTCCTTCGCGCATAACACGGTAACCAGGCTTCTAAGCATCGCCAAACTATGGTAAAGAGGGAAGACGGAATGGCCAGGTTACCAAAATTCACTTCTCTTAACTATTAAAACAAAAATCTTAATTGCTTTTTTTGTTCTACACGATTAAAAAAAACAGATATAAGCAATAGAGTAAAATAATAATAATAATAATAATAATAATAATAATAATAATAATAATAATAATAATAATAATAATAATAATAATAATAATAATAATAATAATAATAATAATAATAATAATAATAATAATAATAATAATAATAATAATAATAATAATAATAATAATAATAATAATAATAATAATAATAATAATAATAATAATAATAATAATAATAATAATAATAATAATAATAATAATAATAATAATAATAATAATAATAATAATAATAATAATAATAATAATAATAATAATAATAATAATAATAATAATAATAATAATAATAATAATAATAATAATAATAATAATTTGTTTGAGAATTTTTTTATCAATCATCTTAATACCTGTAATATTAGAATTAAATCGCAACATAATGTTGAAATACCTGAAGCAAGGAGAATAACGAAAAGAGGAATATATTGGAGCTTGTCTTTACACTTTCCGGTAGTTGCTAACTACAACTGCTTGTAAAAAAATTTTCTACTGTATTTTTTAATACGAAAGACCTGATACTGAGAGATAAAACATTTTAAAAATAAATAAAAATAATATTTTGAATAAGTATTATTTAGAAATGTTACTATTTCCAGAAAAGTCTGTTAAAGTCAAATACCACTTGGACATTTGTAACACCCCTACTTAAATTATTAAGAGGTGAAATAAAATAACTGTGAAAAAAAATATTTTTTTTTTTCTTTTTTAAAATACTTAATAAAAAAAATATTCACAATTGAACATGTCTATTGCATGAGAATATTAAAGGAAAAAGATTAGATTCATGTAAGACTAATTATCAACACCCCGGCCGATATTACAAACTTGGTAAAGATCAATCAAGAAATAATAATAACAATAATAATAATAATAAAAATAGGGTATATACCAAAGCTCAAATCTGTTAGAAGGCTGGGTTAATATAGTCCTGCATCAAATTTATTTTAATTATTTTTTTTTTACTTGCTTCAATTAACTTTTCTTTCTTCTTTAATTTAACATTAAAAAAATATCAAAGAAGTTGTATTATTATTTAGCAGGGGTCTTTTAATATCTTTAAACGCCCTTTTTTTTTTCCTTGTTATTTAATCGAGCAGCAGAAAAAGGAATTAATTACATCTGTTTGACAGTAGATCTAAAAATGCTTGTAAAAGTAAGTGGATCTTTGTTCTTTTTTTATTTTTTTATTTTTTTTATTTTTTGGTAGATTTTAAAAGCTAAAAAGCTACAAAGTTGAAACATTAAAGAAATATTGCTATAGCCTTAAAAATAATAGTGATAATTTTTTTTTTGTTCTTTTCAGGAACGCTAAGTTTTAAAATAAAATTTTAAATTCATGGAGAAAGAAATATGGAAAAAAAAAAAAAATTTTTAATAAATATCTAAATATTTAAAAGTTATTACTGAGCTTATAAAATCTCTCGTGAGTGGTTGATAAACCGTTTTTCTCCACTCTTAGCTAGCTACCAATTAACCTTAAGCTTAGATTGTAGGTTTCCAATGTTTCTAATCGTACTCGGGTATCTTGAAAAAAAAAAAAAAAAAAGAAAAAGAAAAAGAAAAAGAAAAAGAAAAAGAAAAAGAAAAAAAAAAGAAAAAAAAAAAAAAAAATAAAATAAAATGTTTACCATGTTTTCAATAGGATTATTATTATTATTATTATAATAATAAATTTCTGCACGAGAGTTGAATGTAAAACATAAAAAAAATTATATTATTTTCAGAGATACCGAGAAAAAAAAAGTGGTGAGAAAAAAAAAAAAAAAAAAAAAAAAACTAAAGTCAAGTCAAGATGGAAATAGTAAAATTATATGGTTAGTATCAAATCTGGTGGTGGCAATGTTCACATAGACTCTAGACTATTATATAGCTAGCATGTTTCTAGCTTACATCTTATGCCCAGTGCATTTAAATATGTCTGTTATACTGAACTTTTTTTTTTTACAGGCGTTTTTTATTTTTATTTTTATTTTTATTTTATTTTATTTTTTTTTCTAAAGAACAAGTAGCATCATCTATTTGTCGTAGAAGAAAGCTTTGGTTTTTAGGAGCTTCTTCGGCATTACAGATATCACGACAAAGCTTCTAAATTATTTACGGCTGAGTTTGCGTGAACTTCTGTCTTGAAAACCATGCTAAATAGATTCTTACCGAAAAATATTGACAGGATTATATTTTTGCACGCAAAGCTACCAAAACATGCCACAACAGTTTTTTTATTTTTATTTATTTTTATTTATTTTTATTTATTTTTATTTATGAAATGTGCCTGGTGCCTGACACATCCAGGAACCTTTCATTTTGACTATTGTAAAACCCCTTGATCCCGGTTCTTTATAGATGAGACAGATATATCTTTTTCAAATAATTCTTTGTCGTTGTGATGTTAATTTTTTTTTTTTTCCCTCGAATTCACTTTACCGATCTTCATGGCTTACTAGTGATTTTTGAAACATGCAAGGGACGTTCGTTATATATTAAGTGTATTATTTTTATTTTATTTTATTTTTAAAAGAATCACAATATAGCTATACAAAGAATTACTCACAGATGTTGATCAACAACATCATCAAAAAAAAAAAAAAAACTTTTAAAAGAAATTTCCTTTTTTTTTTTGACTTTTTCATATTCCAATCTCTTACCTTCTTCTGTTAAATACTAAATTTAAACATTAAGGTTCCGTTTAAACACCATTTGGAGGTCCCGGGTGAATGGGATCCGTCAGGGTTGTATTGGTACCGGGAACCATGGGCACTGCTGCAGCTGGTTCAACAAAGGCAGCCTGAGGCACCTGGGGGGGAAGAACCTGAGGGTGGGCCACTGGAACAGTTATAGCGAATCCTGGGTTTATCGAAAATCCCTGGCCAGAGTATGGTTGTTGCACTTGCACTTGTGGTTGTGGTTGTGGTTGTGGTTGTTGAAGTTGTTGTATTTGTTGTAATTGTTGTAGCTGTGAAGAAGAGAGGCTTTCTGGGGCGGCTAACAAAGAACCCATAAGTGTTGTAGTTATGGAAGTGTTGGGCAAAGATGGCGCAGGTGCGGCAACTACAGCAGTTGCAGCAGTAGACATGACACTATGATTCAAAGAAATACCGCCTGGTGACGTATTTGGAATTACATTAGATGCTGCTGCTTGTAAGCTGTAAGGCGTCGAAACTGTAGCCGGGACTGTATTGTATTGAGCAATAGGAGCTGAATGTGGGTAGGTTTGAACAAATTGTGACGGGTTTGGTGCAGGTCCACCAATGTATTGAGGTGCTGATTGCTGTACAAAAGCTGGAGTTTGGCCTTGGATCTGAGTTGCAACCACAACTGGAGCCTGTGCTTTAACTTTGGATTTAGCTTTAGCCTGTGCTTTTGCCTGTGCTTGAGCCTGTGCTTGAGCCTTAGCTTGGGCCTTTGCAAGTTTTGCCTGAGCTTTGGCCATCTTTTCCTCATTTTTAGCTTGTTTGGCTTGCTCTTTGGCCATCTTGGCTTCCTGTTTGGCTTGAGCTTTGGCTTCGGCTCTTGCCTTTGCCTGCTCTACCGCCTCAGCCTTAGCCTGAGCTCTTGCTTCAACTTTAGCTTTTTCGCGTTCGGCTCTACGCTCCGCCTTAACTGCAGCCTTTGCAGCTTCTATTTCTGCAAGACGCGCCTCTCTTTTAAGCTTCTTTTCCCGATACGTGCGAATTCTTACGCACCGATCACATAGAAACTCAGTACTCAGATCCTCTTCGGGCCCTTTTTCAAGACTTAGGGTATCATCAGAAACAAGAGTAATAGATTTCTCTTCCGGTTCCTCTTTTAGCATTTCCTTGGTTCCATCTTCTTCCTTTTTGGTGACTTCTTTGGAAATACCATCGCGTCGTTCCTTGAGCTTTTGCTCGTTCTCAGTTGCAATTTGTAATCGCTCATATTCGCTATGATGCAAACACCCAACGTGGAGCCAAATCTCGCAACCTCCACAAGCAACTACAGGTGTACCATCATCATAATCTTCACCATGAATACCGCAGTAGCAATCAAATGTCCAATGCTCATTCTCAGGGGGGACAACATTTTTACTTTTTTCAAAGATAGGCTCCTCAGTCTTGGGAGTTCCCAAAACCTTATTGGCAAGATGTCGTTCCAATAAACGACTACTACTGCGTGTGCTGTGACGGGTAGAAGCTGAAGTAGCTGGTGAAGTACTTCGAGAAGAACGAACGCTACTAGCCTTGGATTGGGTGGCACTGCTGTCAACACTTTCCACAACAGCTATAACAGCAGCAGAATTAGAGTTGACAGAAGCAGTGGGAGCAGCAGTGGGAGTAGCAGTGGGAGTAGCAGCAGCAGCGGTATTTTTAAAAGCAAGTTTTGCTGCAAGCTTAGCAGCTTTGGCTGCAGCTTTGGCCTCTCTTTCAGCCTTTTCCTTTTCACGGCGCTCATCACGCAACTTAAGACGCTTTTCACGCTCTTTCATTCTTGTTTCCTCAGCCATGATAAACTCAACCTGCTTATTATTTTCTTCTTCACGATTTGCACGTGTTGCACGTTCCTCAAGACGTGATGACCTTTTACGGTTGACCACAAGAACTTGCTTCTCGCGATTTTTAAGACGGGCCTTGGCAGCTGCGATCCGAGATTCCTCAAAAGACTGAAGAACAGGGAGAAGCTCCTTGTTAAGGTATGAATAAAACTGACGATCATACTGGTTTTTGCTATGCTTAAGATTTGCAATAAACTCTTCCCAGTCAGAAAGGGTAACACAAACACAACTCCAAATGAGTTCGCTTTCAGGAGTCTCTTTACTCAACGCTTCAGAAAGGGAGATATAGTGAGGGGTTTCTTCATTTATTTTGTCTTCAAGTTCAGTATCAGACTTATTACCATTGTCATCTTTAGATTCATCTTCATTTTCTTTATCAACAGCAGCCTCCTTTTCCAAAGCTGCAGCTGCAGCAAGTGCCTTTTTCCGTTTATTGGCTGCAATAGCTCTTCGTTTGCGAGCCACGGCAGTCAAAGGTTCACGTCTTCGTTTTTTTGTGGATGAAGAAGAAGGAGAAGGGGTTTTAATCTCTTCATCAGGTTGAGTAACTATAGATGGTTTTTTTTCTTTGGGTGGTTCCTTCGTTCCATTTTTGGAATTGATATTTAGACCTGAAGTGAACTGTGGGTCGACCTGCGACAAATCTGGTGGCTGATCTTGAAAAAAGTAAAGTCGGTTATCATCAAGAAGATAGTATGTGCCAAATTCACCTTTCCATCCCACGGGATCAATTCGAAAAGCTTGGGGCAGGGTATCGGGATCAGCTGCCAAAAGTTTGTCAAATTTTTCACGGAAATTAGGGGCTATAACGACCCAATGAACTAATTGGTGAAGGACACGAATCTTATCTTGAGGACTCATAGAATCAAAATGTTCGAGGTCGTCTGGATCAGAAGAAACTCCAAATGGGTTATCATTGGGTGAAACGTTATGTTGTGAGTAAACCTCCCAAGCAGCAGCGTCCAGAGTGTCTTCAGTGACAGTGCGCTTTACATGTGATAAAATTAAAAGAAGATTCATAAGTAGGGTATGAAGGAATGCTGTGGGTAATGCGACTCCAATAAGTTCTTCTTCAATGACTTCAATGTTGACTTCTTCGTTGACGCGTAACATCTTTTTAAAGAAAGAAACAAATTGGAAAAGCTGAGCAAATTCGGGCATATTTCGCAGTTGCCGAAGAATGTCTTGATATTGGGGTTCATCCAAAGGAAGAGCCACCTCTTTATGATCTTGCGATCTTTTGGACATGATGGATCTGGTGCGGGTACTCTTCTAGGCGAATGCAATCAAATCCAAAAAAAAAAAAAAAGGCTAGAGAGTTAGAAGTGAAAAAAAAAGGGAACGTCAAGGGTGGCGGGAATATATACCTTATGTAATTATCTAATTTAAGGAATGAACAATATACTAAGATACAGTTAAGACTCGGTATGGTTAATCTAGTTCATTCAAGTTAAGATAAGTAAAGGTTGGAATTCGAAAGTGCCAAATGTCGAAGTGAAAAATATAATTAAAAATAAGCAAAAGACGTTACGCGTCGTGATGTAAAAACAAAAGAGGTGTGTGTGGGTGTGGGTATGAAAAACGGATTGAGGAAACTGAAAAGTTACCCGGCTTTTTAAAGTTGCTACCTAAATTTTTTTTATAGTTACTGTCCTGATATTTACTTTAACAAAAGATACAGGTTACCATTTCAGATTCATTTCAAAAAGTCTATTTTCTCATTTACATTGAAATTACTTGGGAAAGGCTGATCCAGCAGCTCAATGATCTCCTTATTTGATTTTTTCAAACTCGCTTGAGAGTTGGAGAGAAACAATGGGAAATCATGTTTTTGTTGAGCAAGATGCCATCACTAAACCCAGAAAAAAAAAACATGTTATTAAACAAAAACAGGCATTTCTTTTGTTGGTTCCTTTTTCTTTTTCTTTCTTTTACATAAAGTCATCATCATCAAGACCATCATCATAATTGGTGGTGTCAAGCTTATCTTCCATCTTGGCAGAAGACGACTTGAGTTGTGCCTTTGGTTTCTTGCCTCTGTTAGCGCGCTCTGCACGTTGTTTTTCGCTTGCAACAGCGTTGAGGGTAGAGATGATTTTGCGGATTTGATCTTGAGAAAGAGTCTTTGAGAGATCACGAGTGATATCAGTGACGAGGTTGGCGTAGTGCACATTGGAGACCTTGTTAAGATCGGAAAGAATTGGAACAAGGGTCTTACGAAGAGTTTCAAACTCGGGCTTAGTGGAAGGGTGGAAAACCTGGAAATCAGAGAGTTTGGAGGGTAAAGGAGCAGCGGCAACAGCTTCCTTATTGGCATTAGCACGGGCACGAGGGTGAATATCGGCACCGCCCATCAGATCAGCCAAGTTGGCCATATCATTGTCCTGCTCGACTTGTTTCAGTCGCTCTTTCTTTGCCTGGGCATCTTCTTCCTTGAGATTGAGGGCCTTGGCTTCAAGTTCAAGACGTTCTTTCTCCTCCTTCTCCTTAAGCTTTTGCTTCAGGGGGACGCGCTTGTGTGTGGGGGCCTTGGGCTTGTTGTCTTCGTCGTCTTCATCAAGGGCATTCTCCCAAGAGTCGAGAGCGTCGCCCTCAATTTCGTCGTCCCAAGAAGCCTTGAGAGCCGAGGAAGCGGCATCAACATCGTAGTCTTCGTCGTCCCAGTTAGACATGGTTGGTATGCAGTGTCAAAGGTGGAAGTGGTAGTGGTAAAGTATGTAGTGGGTAGTTACTACGGATGGTTTTGGTGGTTGTGAAAGCGGAAAAAAAAAAAAAAAATTTTTTTTTTTGTTTGTGATTTTTTTTCTTTACGACGGTGATTTTGAGCTCGCGTGGAGAAATTGAAAGATGAGGGAAAAGCTAAAGTAAATAGTTTGATTAATAAGTATGTGTAAGGTTTTATGTAATTTATAATCGATTATAATAAATCAGTGGGCACGTTTTCGAGATTCAAGATTGAAGGTTAAAGATTGAAATGATTTTGAAGAATCAAAAATAAATAAATAAATAAATAAATAAATAAATAAATAAATAAATAAATAAATAAATAAATAAATAAATAAATAAATAAATAAATAAATAAATAAATAAATAAAAAATAATAGAAATGTTACTGATTAAATATTAAAATTTATTCAATGTGTTTTATGTAAAAATAATAAAATATTAGAATATTAGAATAATTTTACTATTTTTCAATTATTAATGCGTTTATTCAACATTGCCAAAAAGAATCAGTCCAAAATAATGCTTTATTTTGCAATTTTCTCAACTCCAAAAAAATTTTTTTTTTTTTAATTTAATGGATTTAGCATTAAGTAATTTTTTAGAAAAGTCATGGCTTACTTATTATCAACTGCTGACTTTAAAGGTTATCTTTTAATCACTCCTAATGAGATCGAACTGAACTTAGAGACCTCTTCTTTGAGTACCACTAAACCTTTCAGATAAGCCCATATATTATATATTATGTAACTTATTATGTAATATATTGGTACGGTCGTACAGCTCTCAGCCGAGATTTCATGAGGGGCCACCACCACGCCTTTTTCCATAAACTGTCAACGTGCCATCCCACAACCTTTTTTTTTTTTTTTTCATCTACTATTTCCTCTTTCTTTAATCAATCGAACTCAATTCAATTAAATTAAATCATAATGGACGGAAATACTACAGTTCTTCCTACTAAACCTTTTGATCGATCCGTCAAGCTAGCTTCATTGGCAGACTGGGCCAAGGAAAATGGAATTGAGCTGAATAATTGTGAAATCAAAGCAGAAGGCTCTGATGGAGCCGGATTATACGCCACTGCTGATATTACTGCTGATTCTAAGACCCCTATTGTGCGAGTACCCTTGGATTCTGTGCTTACAAGACGCTCTATTTTTGCATTAGCTGAAAAAAGCGAATTTTTCAAAGATTTGTTATACCGCAAAGCCGATGGGACGCCAATTACTGTTGCATCAGGAAGCAGCCCAACAACTAATGAATTTTTCGAAAAGTTCCCACTAACTAGCAAGGACATTTTGGTACGCTTTTTTATCTACGAGATTCTTACGTCAAGAAGAGGTGGCCCAAGAGACCGATGGACTTCATGGGTAGAATCTCTGCCTCCATTGCGAGAAATGAACCTGCCCTTTAGTTGGGATAAGGACGATGTAGAGTCATTGTACGGCTCAAGCATCTATGAAGCTGTGCTTTCCAAGCTAGAATTTCTCAAGTTCCGATACAACCGGTTGTTTGAGTCTGTGGAGTTGCGTGAACGAATTTCCGAGTACGTCAAGGCTGGGCCGCAGCCGCAAATCAATCTAGAGGCTGATGTGGAGGTGACATTTCAGGACTGGTTACTTATTGAATCGTGGATTTCTTCTCGAAGCTTAGAGGTTTTGGAGGAGCCTTCCGAAGAGTATGAGGAAAACTTACGGTTAGGGATGGTTCCAGTGGTAGACATGTGCAACCACGATGAAGTTGGGTGGAACAGCAAGTATGAACTTGATGGTGAGACTGGCTCGGTTCTGCTGATACCAACGAGAGAAATTAAAAGGGGGGAAGAAGTGACAATTACTTATGGAGAGAATAAGGGTGCAGGTGAAATGCTCTTTTCTTACGGGTTTATACCGGCGGGTATTAAGACAGGACATGCCAAGGTTGCAACGTTTGCAATTCCTCCAATCGTTGATGAGGATGATGATGATGAAGAAGAAGAAGAAGAAGAAGGGGGGGATATTAGTAAAAATGTTGACGAGGATGACGATGCGACAATTGTACTCAAGGCCAAGCACCGTATGTTTGGGAGACGCGCGCGGCTGCTCCAAGTCCGGCAACTGGATGCTAGTGCACCAGTAGAGTGGGAGAGCAATTTTGTTGCATTTCTAGGGTTGCCTGCAGAGTACATGTCGTTTGCAGAGGTTGAAGAAGATGATGAAAGTGACAAAAATGGAAAGAATGGCCAGAATGGCCAGAATGGCAATAGCGAGCCTCAGATTTTATATGCTGGGCATGCTTTTGATCTTGGAGACGTACGTGGGTCATTGGAACAAGTGTTTGAAAGCGGGTCGCCAGAAGGTCTAGCCGCAGAAGCTAACGCTGTTTCGCTAGCAGAGTCGCTTGTGCGCGGAGTATTTGAGGAAGGATTGAATGAGCGGACCAAGATGGCAGAGGCCGAAGAAGAAGGACCTGCGCGGCCGATTCGCGAGAACCATGTGTTGATTGAATTGGAGAAGCAACTTTTGGCGCAGCTACAATTTTAAAAAATAAAATAAAAAAATAAATAAAAAATAAAAGTTGCTGGGTGATGTAATTGATTGTAGATAAGGGCTGTGGGGTTGTCGTGTGCGCAAGCAGCAATTGGCCCAATAAAGTTTTTTTAAGTTTTTTTTTTTTTTTTATTTATGCGGATTTAAATATATTATTGTGAGTGCAACGCAAACAGACCAAATATAAAACCAAATTTTGAACCAAGACCAAGTAATGTATTATGATTTTAAAGAAACTCCAAAAGTTTCTTCATTAAGTAAACATGACAGCTTTGAGGGGGAGATAGAGAAAGAAAGAAATAAGAAGTGTTATTTAAGATTGTCTTTTTTTTTTTCATTTGTTGTATGTGTATGTTTAGACTAGTAGCCTAAGTGCGGGCTTAAAGGTAGGATCTGCATTGGTGATGCTGCAGAAGCAGCCGGCAGCCAACAGCCAACAGCCAACAATAGCTAGCTAGCAGCCAGCCAGCCAGGCAGACAAGCAGACAGGCAGACAATAGAGGAGGAGGACGAAGAAGGGTATTGAATGATGTATGATATGCATGAGAGATATATGTTGATGTATATAATCAGTTGCTTGTTAATAGTGATTATATATGGTGATAATTATTCTTAGATAAAGCGCAGTTTGTTGATTGCTGTTATAGATTGAATGGAGAAAATGAGAATAAGAGAATAAGAGAACAAAAAAAAAAAGGAAGATTTTGGTGATTTGAATGATCAATAATAAAAAGGTATTTTAGACATTTAAGCATATTTTTTTTTTCAAAAATAAATCAAACGGCTACATGAATAGTTAATTGTTTTTTTTTTTTTTTGAAATTTATCATCATTGTTATTCTTTTTTTTTTTTTATTTTCTAATTCTATTCACAAGCCTTTTTAGGAATTATGAATTAGTCCTGCCTTTTTTTTTTTTTTTTTTTCTTTCTCATTTTTTTATTTTTCTGTTTTTTTCTATTTTCCATGTGCCAAAAAAAAAAAAAAAAAAGAGGGATGACCCACTGATAAGCGCGTCGCAACGCCCAGTCTGTGGAAGAATCGAATTTTGGGCTGTTTTTGGCTGCTTGGCGTCGCTGATAGGACAACAAAAGCTGGAGAGAGGCGACTTATCAATTAAAAGTTTTGTTTGTTTGTTTTTTTGTTTTTTTTGGCTTGGTTTTACTCCTTACGGCCTTTAAACTTATAAGCTTAAAAACTTTATGACAAAGAAGGTGATGATGATGATGTTGATGTTGATTATGGGAGATGATTCACATAAAGTATTAAACGGTGCATTCTGTTTTTTTTTTGTATAATTTAAGGGATAAAAAAAAAAGAAAGGAGGGTGGAAATAAAAATTAAAAAATTAAAAATTGAAATTAAAAAAATCAAAAAATCAAAAAATCAAAGTGTATTTAGTTTGCTTTTTTTTTGATTTAAAAGTCGATGAAGAAATGTTTTTATTTTTTTTTTTTTCAATTCTAATGATTTCAATACTAAATTATAAGAACAATAACAAAATCCTTTATTTCTATGCAAAAAAAAAAAAAATGACAGCTCAGGCACCACCATCACCACGCACATGAGCACGAGCACGAGTACCGGAGGTTTATATATATATATATATATATATCAGAAATATCAAACTAGGTGTGGCTGGCGTATTTTCAAAAGGGGCGAAAAAGGGAGGGTAAAAGTGGATTGTTCTGAGTGAGAGGTGGTGGTGGTGTGTGTGGTGGTTGGATTATTGTATTTTTTTTTAATGATATTATATAACAATGATGCCTAGTACACAAAGAGATGCATATAAGTAAGCCTTGATTTCTTCTTTTTTTCTTTTTTCTTCTTCTTTTTCTTTTTTTACTTTCTTCTTTTAAATATAAATACTCTTAAACATCTTTCAAGTTTATCTCTTTTTTTTCTTTTTTTTTTTTTAATTCAATTCCTATTTTTTTTTTACTTCTTCTTCTTCTTCTTTTTTATATCTTAAACCTTTCTTCCTCTTCCTTTTGTCCTTATCGTCGTCCACTCACAAAATCATGTCTTCTGAAGATCAACCGCAACAACCTCATAAGGAACACCACAAGCACATCCACAGCCCACGGTTCGGATTCAGCAGCCCCAAGCTGGGCTTTAGCAGCCCTAAACTCGGCTTCAGTAGTCCTAAGATTTCGTTCCACAAACACGGGCATGAAGATAGCCCCAAACCCGAAGGTGCAAGCCCACATGTTTCCGGCAGCCCCCGCGTTGGAACTAACTCCCCCCATTTTGATATTGATGAAAATAGCGACGTCCCTAAGTTTTACTCGACTGGCCGTGGAGGAGCAGGTAATATGGGCTTTGGCAGCCCTAACCTGTCTCCTAAAATCATTCCTGCTGAGGAAGCCATCCACCCACTGCACCAAGAGGTCTTCACAACAGGTCGTGGCGGTGCAGGAAACATGGCTAAACATCTGGATCAAAAGACAGTCGAGATTCTTCAAGATGAAGGCATCCCGTCACCTCAAACTGACCCTAGCAAGCCTACAATGAGCAACATGTCGATTGGCCGTGGTGGATTTGGTAACGTACGTGCCACTCGGGAGGCTGTTCAACAAGAAAAGAGTATCTTTGAAAAGATGAAGGAACATATTTCAAAGTAAAGGACTTTTGACAAATAATTTGAAATGTTGGAATGGACTCTACTATTATAATTGGATTGAATCTTTTTATTTTTTTATATATATAATTATTTTTAGAATTTTTTTGTTGGATTTTAATGTTCAAGTTTGTTTTATTTTTTATTTTTTTTTTTTTTTTTTTCCTCGTGGTGTTATTTCTTTCAAGGATAGAGTACCTCAATACCAACCAGTTGCAAGTTTCTTTACCCAAAGGCAGGTTGCACCCGCTAGTCTACCAACAAGTTGCCAACAGATTGTATTTTATATTTATTATTGAGCATACGTAAAAGAAAAGTAAATTTTAGTAACGTTTGCCCAAAAAAATAAATAAATAAATAAAAATAAATATCAACTGAGTATATATAAGAAAAAAAAAAAATAAGGAGAGAAAAATAGTTGAAGACAAATATGATATTATGGTGGTAAGAAGGATTTAAAAAAAATGAGTGGCTGCAGAATTGCAAACTGATAAGACAAAAACGGGGAAAAGAGGAATTCTTTTTATTTTTTTTATTTTTCTAACACGATAAGACCCCGTTTAGGTGTTTTGTTTTGTTTTGTTTTGTTTTATTTTTTTTTTTTTTTTTGAAAGTTTATGTCCAACAATTCTATGCAGCTACGGCAGAATAAAGAGGGAGAGAGAGAGAGACCACAAAAAGGCAGCCTTCAGCATGATTTTAAATAAAATAAAAGCTATAAACTTTTGAAAGCAGCCATATTTGGGGGAGACAAAAGTCGTAGATCAAGATTAACAGAATGAGAGACTGATAAATTTGGTTGTGGCGTTAGTGCTTATCTGTGTGCGCGTGACAGTTGAATATTTTGATTGATATTGACCTTACTTCTAAGTGTTTTTGTAGTGGTGAATAGAATTAAAAAAAAAAATAAAATAAAAATAAAAATCGCATGGTCATTATTCAAAAGCCGTAATCAAAAACGGTTCCAAAAAAATAAAAAGATCGAGTGTCATCTTAAATCACTTGAAATAACTATTTTGGATTACAAAATATGCCTACTAAAACATGTCGTGGCATTAGAATTCTCGGCAAAAAAAAAAATAGGACCATTGATTTTAAAAAATTCTTTATATTCAAAATTTATATTTATATATTTAAACACTGTAATTCTACATCAACTTATTAACAAAGTGCTACGAGTGCACATTCACATACTAAAGAAAATAACAGTTAGAAATGGTCCAAGTAATTCAAACTTAGCAAAGCACACTAAAAAAAAAATTATTTTTTTTTAAAAAAATCAGGGTTAAAAAGCTCTGTCAAAATTTTATTCCACATGAAAGTTCAGGTGAAGAAATTCTTGTTGCTCATCATATAAAAAAAAATTTTTCATTTATTTTTCTTTTTTTTTCGATATTCTCCAGTGGCTTGCTAAAATTTGGGAATTTTTTTTTTTTTAATCATTAAAGACTTACCATAAATTTGTGTTAGTGCTGAAGAGAAATAAGAATGAATTCAAAATGTTCAAGTTGGTTAAAGGTGTGAAAAAATTTCAGTTAAATAATGATCAGGTTATATCATCAGGGTAAGGGTTTACACATGAGTGTTTAGGGTGTACTAAACTAGGGCAAAGAGTTACCCTGATCTATTTAAATTATGTAAAAATAAATGAGTTATGGGTTCTAAATAGATTTCGTATGCTTGACTAAGATAAAATTAGTTAGTATGACAATCTTTAAAAAAAGAAATAATTATTATTCTTGTGAAGAGGGGGGTCCAGTGTAAAAAAAGCAAAAAAAAAAAGCGTTAATGGAATACGTCTATTGATTAAAAATAAATATAAAGTACAAAATAAACATTTTCATTAACACTAGAAATAAAATTTTTTTTTTTTTTTTTGAACACAGAAAAACTTATTTAAATTTTTATTTATTTATTTAAAATATATGTATTATTTTTATTGAAAAATTTTAAATTACATTCAAAAAATTTAATATTGAATTATATTTTAATAATTTATTCACCTTTATATTTCTAATCCAATTGTTTGCTTGTTTGTTTTTATTTAAGGGTTATAGAATTCTCTAGTCCAATTTTTTTTATAAATTTTATATTTTAGAAAAGTTTAATTTATATACAACCTTCTTGCAAAAAATTCAACAACTACGAAACGCAAGTTTAGTCTGGCCGTGTGGTCTAGTAGTATGATACTCGCTTTGGGCGCTAAGCAACTTTGCGAGTGGTCCAGGGTTCAATTCCCTGCTCGGCCCAATTTTTTTTTGCCTTTAAACATATTTATTTTATTTTAATTTTTTTTAAGCTTATACAAGGTTTATTTTTTTTTTTCTTCTTTCACAATAAGAAAGAAATAAAACCTACCATAACTAGACTGATTACCTATTTCCATCAATTATAGTTTTTTTTTCATTTTTATTTTTATTTTTATTTTCGATTGGAATTTCCTTCGTTATTTTTATTTGTGAGTTTTTTTTTTTTTTTTTTTTTTTTTGATTCAGATGCTTATTGAAGGCAGATAAGAGCACTTTTTATTTCTCTCTCTCAGTTTATTTTCTATTTTCGGGATAATTGCCATGACAACCATTTAAAACTGTACCACCACCACCACCACATCAACAACAATTACAACTGGCTGATCATTTTTTCTTCCATACTACAAATGTATATAGACGTTTAAATTGCTTTGAACTTCCATTCGGAATCAACTTTCCTATTCAAGTATTAAAGTATATATTTTGGAAAAAAAAAAAAAAAATAACGGGCAACTTTGATTTTTTTTTATTTTTATTTTTATTTTATTTATTTTTTCTTACCATTTGAAAAATTCCCTTTTAATCCCCCCCTCCTCCTCTTTTAAAAAAAAAAAAAATAATGGACACTACTTATCATTTTGCCGCTGAAGACTTGATTACCCAACTGCTGAGTCATCAATCTGAAAAATAAAAAAAATAAAAAAAATAAAAAAATAAAAAAAGCCCCACGTCATTTGAACGGATTTTTTTTTTTTTTTTTTTTTTTTTTTTTTTTCCAAACCTCCACAAAAAATAAAAAAAAAACCTCCCACCACCAAACCACCAAAGGCAAAAACCTTGCAATCTCTTTCTCCTGCTTATAGAGTCCACTTTTCGCGATCCACTGCCTATAGGGTTCTTTAATACTTTCAAACCTATAAAAATTTTTTTTTTTTTTTTTTTTTTTGCTACTACCAACAAACTTTTCTTTAACGTCACATGGATAAGATTCTTCTTAATTGGAGGTTTCCTTTATTTAATTTTTTTTTTTTCTTCTTCTTCTTCTTATTGTTATAAAATTATGAATAAATATTGAAATTGGTAGTATATTTTAATACACCACCCAAATCAATGGGGAAAAATAAATTGAAAAATTCCCCTGTCAACATATGTCTTAAGCACCCTTAATCGGCCCGCACAGGCTCATGTGTAGATGGGGCAGTTTTCTTGATCTTCTTGTATATATATATATAATCAAAAAAAATAAAAATAAAAAATAAAAAATAAAAATTTAGAAGCAATTTCGAAACAATTATATAAAATAATAAAAACGTCCCCGTGGGTACCCTTTTTTTATTTGATTTGATTTTATTATTATTTCATATATATATATATATATATATCTCCCATAAAGAAAAAAAAAAAACTATAAATACTCCAAGTTTCCCATTAATTCTTACCTCTTTTTTTTTTTTTTTTTTTTTTTTTAAAAATCTTTATCTCTAACTAATCTTTTCCTTTATTTATTCACACACACATCACCATTCTACTATCCTACATATATATCCACAATGATTGCTAAGATCTCTTCTGCCACCGCAATGGAGTACGAGGAAAAGTACTCGGCCCACAACTACCACCCTCTGCCCGTTGTTCTCTCAAAGGCTTTGGGCGCACACGTTTGGGATCCCGAAGGAAACGACTACCTTGACTTTTTGTCTGCTTACTCGGCCGTTAACCAGGGCCACTGCCACCCCAAGATCATTGCTGCTCTCACTGAACAAGCCCAGCGTCTCACTCTGTCTTCCCGTGCCTTTTACAATGATGTTTTTGGCCAGTTTGCCAAGTACGTTACCGAATTTTTCGGCTTTGAAATGGTTCTCCCCATGAACACTGGCGCTGAAGCTGTCGAAACTGCCATCAAGCTTGCCCGCAAGTGGGGTTACATGAAGAAGGGAATTCCAGAGGATGAGGCCATTGTTCTCTGTGCTACTGAAAACTTCCACGGTAGAACAATTGCCATTGTCTCCATGTCCACTGACCCAGAAGCTAAGGAAAACTATGGCCCTTACCTCGAGAAGGTTGGCCCTTACATTCCTGGCACAAACAAGCCTCTAAGATATAACAATGTTGAGGACCTCGAGGAGGCCTTTAACAATGCCGGCGACAAGATTGCTGCCTTTTTGGTCGAGCCCATCCAGGGTGAGGCTGGTATCGTGGTCCCTGATGCTGATTACCTTACTAAGGTCTCTGCCCTCTGCAAGAAGCACAATGTCCTCCTGATTTGCGACGAAATCCAAACTGGTATTGCTCGTACCGGTAAGCTTCTTTGCTTTGAACACTCTAACATTCGCCCTGACATGGTTCTTCTCGGTAAGGCCATTTCCGGTGGTGTCACTCCAGTCTCTGCTGTTCTTTCTTCCAAGGACATTATGCTTTGCATTGAGCCCGGTACCCACGGCTCCACTTATGGTGGTAACCCCCTCTCTTGCGCTGTTGCCATTGCTGCCCTTGAGGTTGTTAAGGACGAAAACCTTACTGAGCGTTCTGCCACTCTTGGTGAAAAGTTTAGAAAGGGTCTTGAGCCTCTTCTCGAAACTGGCATTGTCACTGAGATTCGCGGCAAGGGTCTTCTTAATGCCATTGTCATTGACTCTTCCAAGGCTAACGGCAGATCTGCTTGGGACTTGTGTCTGCTTATGAAGGAAAAGGGTCTTCTTGCTAAGCCCACCCACGACACTATCATTCGTCTTGCCCCTCCTCTTGTCATCTCTGAGGAGGACATTGAGAAGGGTATCAAGATTATCTCAGATGCTGTCAATGAACTTTCCACTTATGCCAAGTCTGAGGGCCACTAAATTTTGTTATGACCACTCACTACCTACAAAAAAAATACCACTTTACGACTTTTAATGACTTTCTTTTTTTTTTTTTTTGAAAAAAATATATATTTTATGTAAATATTAAAGTACGAAATCTTGACTATTAATATACTTTTACTACCACCACTACTACTATTATTATTCACTAGAAACTAGAATGAGTTGCAAATTCCCATCCTACATTGGTAATCAACCCTCGCTGAGTACCCGAAGCAAAACTCGTGTTATCATCATCTTGAAAGCTTCCTTTCTTTTGCATCTTTTTTTTACTTGTCCATGTTGTAAATGTCTCTCCACGCTTTTCGAGTTCTTCAAACATATCATCCAATTCTCTAGCAGCCCCACGCACAACCCCTTCCATTTCTGCAACTTTTGATTCCAGCCGATCCATTCGTTCAGAAATAGGACTTTGTTCGCCTTCATCTTCATCATTATAATTTCCTTCTTCTTTTTCTTCTTCTTCTTCTTCACCATCATCTTGAAAACTATTGTATCGTCTTCGAGACCTCCCCCCATCTTCCGGCACTGTCCCGGCCCCATGGTACAGATTTAGGTATCTAGTCACTTCATGGTTCAATGTTTTTTCCAGCTGGTTAACACAGTCTATTTGTCCTTTCTTTTGATACTCATCGTTGCTGCCAACCTCTGAGGTCTTTTCAAATTCTGTAGCAAGCAAGTTAAGTCGTACACTTGTGGTCGGAGTAGCACCAATAAAACCAGTTTCACGGCAAAGGGGGCCTCCACCAAAAATTTGATCCATTTCAATTGCACTTGGTTGATCCGCACAAATACTCTTCCCAAGATCTTCTAGCTCGCTCGATACATCTGATCTTAACCATGATCCACCATCATAATCATAATCATCATAATCATAATCATCATAATCGTCATCATAATCATTTTCATAATAACTTTCACCTTTTCCAGATTCATCCTCTTCAGATTCATTTCCTTCTCTCCCGTCTTCATCATCATTGCCATTCTTTTTAAAGCATATTCCAGGATGCTCCACTTCACACTCCCACATAGCTCTTGGATGGAACCTTTTTGTTAGCCCTTGCTCCTTCTGCTGCTGCTGTTCTAGTGTATAATGTGTTTCAACACCATAGTCCTTTTCGTCATCAGCATCAGTATCAGCATCAGCATCATCTTTTTTTTCTTCTTCTTCTTCTTCTGCAGTCTCTTGGTAAAAGTCTTCTTGAACACTTGTATGCTTTGGGTATTCTTTATTAATTGAACACACTTCAGTTAGGTATTGTTCCATAAAAGATGGTATGGACGATGTCGCAGATACTGCACCCGGATGATGGAAAATGATGGATCCAGAATCTTCGTTGCTACTTTTACCCACTGATTCTTCCGACATTATAATTTCATTCTCACCATCGCCATCATCACAACTCTTTGATGAATTATACAACGATACCGCAGTTCTGTGTTCCACAGCAATCAGCCGGTTCTCCAACCAAGAGATCTGTTCCAGATACCTTGTCTCACGTTCCTTGAGCTCGCCGCACTCTTTTGCAATCAGCGCCAGCCGTGCATCCAAAACATTAAACATCATTTCAAACTGCCTTCCACCACCACAACCATTGGCAGCCTCTTCCTCCCCGCGCTGCTTCTTTTCCAGAGCTGCATTCTGTGAACGGAGAGGAAATGTGCAACAGCAACAAGAATCTGGAGAAATTAATGACTCGCGTTGTATTGCAGTCTCGTGCAAAACTGCAGTCGCCTCTTCAACTTGCGCTAGCAAACCGCTCAGCTTTTGGTCATAAACCTTAGTGACGGCCCCGACCCGGGCCTTGACAGTTGCGTCAATAACCTGGCACACATCTTGTCCAATTTCAATACACTTTTTTTTGTTTACCATTTCTTTTAGTACTTCATCATAGTGTTCCCGCATCTCAGCAATCTCGCGTCTGATTTCGTCCATCTCCCGTTCAATTGCTCCAAAGGCCTCCATGCCTGCTTCTGCAGCTTCTGCAGCTTCTGCCGCTTCTGCCGCTTCTGCCGCTTCTGTTGTCATTGTTGCTTGCATATTTGCGCTTGCACCTGCGCTGAAAAGAGTTGTACCGGAATTGATACATTCCACAGAATCCAGGTGCTCACTTAGACGTAAATTGAGATTCTCGATCCGGGTCTCTAAATCTTTCCATGACTTTTCCACTAGTAGTTTAATCTCGGTGCTGATTTCTTCACTTGTTTCATGTTGAAGAGGACTTATATATTTTAAAAGTTTTTCGTCTGTGACATTTTTAAAGTCATCTAAATAAATCCACGTTAATTGATTTGTTTTCTGATATTTTAATTAAAAATTTCAACTTCAACTTACCTTTTACGAAATTGATATCTCCAACAGACTTCTTGTTGGGTTCATTGAACACAATTCCATCTTGAGAAACATTTTCTTGACTATTCAAACTCATGATTTTTAAAGTCAATTCTGAACTTGTACTTTTTGTAAAAGAATTTAATTAGAAGTCTTAAATCATTGGCCACATGATTTATTTTTCTTACCTTTTTTTGTTTTTTTAGTATCCTTAGTATATACCAAAGAAAAAATAAATTTGTATTAGAAATTATGAAAAAAAAAAATTGTATAGTTTTGGAAAATAATTTAAAGTATAGAGTAGCAAAAAAAAAAAAAAAAAAAAAAAAAGAGAAGAATACAAAATATGTTTATAAATTCAGTAATGTGGTGCTTTTTTTTTGTCTAAGAAAAAAGGATTAAACCATTTGCCGAAATAATTTCTTAAAATGGAAATTTAATCTCCTTGAAAAAATTCAACATCTCCATGAAAACACTAAAGCGAAGACTGTTCGACTGTAATGTACTTCCAAAGTTCTTCAGGTTTCCTTAGCACACCATTAATCTTGTACCCAGTAGGAGTTCCTTCTTCTGCCAGAGGCAACATGTTATACTCACTACTGTGTGAGCGATATTTTCCTAGTTCCTTCAATGAGACCTGATTCCCCTTAAAATCGTAAACGTTAGTTTCAGGTGTTATAACAACATTTTCTTTAAGTGCTTCAGCATAATCTTTCATAGCCTCGTTGGACTTGTTGGCATGGTAGACTTGCGACATGTAGTAAAGTGTCAAAATGTTAAAGAAAAATGTATCAGAAGAATTTATTTTTTCATTCAAAAGTTCCTTTTCTTGTGGCTTTTTTAATTTTTCAAGTTTTGGTGCCGATTCTTCAGTATTGGATTCTTCAGTCTTGGATTCTTTAGTTTCAAGGTTGGCAACAACATCATTTTTTAGTTCAGTAGATTCTTCAGGTTTGACACCCTCAGCAGCTTCTTCTTGTTCTTCTTGTTCTTCTTCCTCATCACTTTTTTCAAAATAGCTGTTATCACTAAGATTTTTATAAATTGAATTGATGCATACAGCCAGACTGTTACCAGCACCATATTCAATTGACTTGATGAAAGCTTTGCGTTCCTTTTTGGAAAACAAATCTTTTGTTCCATGAGATTTCAGTATTTCTTTAGCTTCATCTTTTTCCAGAAATGAAATGTATCCACTATCCCAGTATGACTGAAATTGACTGGGTTCCAGTTGCGAAAGCTTCTCCTGGGGGATTGGTAGAGCAAAGGATTTGGCATAGAAGGCTTGTTCATAAGAGTCCATTTTTACAATTGTTAAAAATTCAGATATGTATTTAAAAGCCTTTTTAGCCATGTAAAGTCTACCTTTAGATTTGACCTTGTGGATAACCTTGGAAGCCAGCCACCCATGTTTTTCTTCAGAGTTGTTGCCGTAAATACTCAAAACAGAAGTCATTATTAGATTAGATTAGATTAGATTAGAATTTGGAATTTGGAATAATAATTTGAAACAAAAAAAAAAAAAAAAAAAAAAAAAAGATAGATAAAACTGGGCTTTTATAGACATTCATTTATTTATTTATTCATTTTTTTTTTCCATTTCAAAGTATGAATAAGGCAGTTAGCCACTTGAAGTCGTCAGCCGCTCAGTTTATTTATTTTTTTTTTTTTTGATGGAAGAAACAAAAGAGCAAAGAATTTATTGTATTTTTGATGGAAGAAACAAAAGAGCAAAGAATTTATTGTATTTTTGATGGAGATGATTGGTACTGTTGTATTGAAGCGCTGTTCCAGAGGTAAAAAATAAACAAAAAAACAAAAAAACAAAACAAGAAATGACATAAAATGGAAACTTTGAAAATTTAGCCGTTTGAAGTTTTTTAAAAGTAAAAGAGGGGAGAGGAAGAAGAAGAAGAAAAAAAAAGGAGGCTAAATTTAAATTCAACACAGAAAAATATTAGCTTTTAAGAATATTTTATTTTTTTTTTTAGCAGTTTCAAAAAATTAAAATTTTATTTTATTTATTATTATATATGCTTAAAAATTATAAATAAAATAAAATAAAATATAAAAATGAATTTTGTTAATTACTTTTATTTAAGGATTATAATAAAAAAATTAAAAAAAAAACCAGTATTAACTCTATCCTTTTTTGGTTTTTTACTATATATACAAAATTTTATTTTTTCAAAGAAAACATTTAATGTAAATTCAATTTTTATATAATTTGTTTGTTTGTTTGTTTGTTTTTATTCAAGGGTTATAGAATTAAATAACATCAGCATCTGCGCTATCCTTCTTGTCCATACTATATATATCTTTTCATTTTAATAATAATAAACTTTTAATTTTGGCTTCAACATTGCATCTTCAACAGCCTTAAAATAAGTCCTGATGCCAGCTTACGAGGAACAGGGATCTTTCTTCATGATTACAACATTTCTATGAAAACATTTTAAACTAAAAAATTTTAAATTTTAAAATTTTTTAAATAAATTAATTGTTTGTATAATTGTTTGACAACATGGGAAGTTAGTGTAGTGGTTATCATACTTGCCTTCCAAGCAAGTGACATGGGTTCGATTCCCGTACTTCTCATTTTTTTATTTTATTTTTGAGTAAAAACAAACCATAAAAAAACGTTTGTTTGTTTGTTTTTATTCAAGGGTTATAGAACTATATAACATCAGCATCTGCGCTATCCTTTTATTGTCTGACTATGTGACTTGCCGGTTTTCATTTGTACCTTTTTAGTACGGGTGGTTTCTGTTCTGTGCGTCTCCGGTAGCCCGGAAGATGGGCCCTGATGCCAGCTTACGAGGAACAGGGAGAACCAGTCTGTCGGTCCCAAAACCTTCCCAACCCATTTCCACTTATCTTCACGGACGCCCATGTATTTCTTAATCTCTTCCGCCAGAGATACGGCCCGCAATCACCTGCAGGCTATTTAGACTGTACGGAAGAGTCGGCATTCCTGTAACCAGGGTAGCCTATGGTTTTCAATCTAGGTGTATACTCCCGTACACATCCTCAGGAAAAGGGGGTATTCTGGGAATCGAACCCAGTATCTTCCGCTATCGAACGAACGTGTTACCCTTTACACCATCCAGCCCTTTTTCCCCAATTGATGTTAAAAATTGTTTGTTTGTTTGTTTTTATTCAAGGGTTATAGAATTATATAACATCAGCATCTGCGCTATCCTTCTTGTCCATACTATATATTTTTTCATTTTGATAATAAACTTTTAATTTTGGCTTCAACATTGCATCTCCAACAGCCCGAAAATAAGTCCTGATGCCAGCTTACGAGGAACAGGGGGTTAAAATAACCAAACCTTCCCAACCTATCTCCACTTGTCTTCATCAACGCTGTAATTGTATTTCTTAATCCCTCCAAGCAGAGATAAAGCTTACAATCTCTTGTAAGCCAGTTAAACTGTTTAAGAGAGTCGACATGTCCATCTCTGGAGATATCCGTTTCAGTCCTTTTCTTTCCTCTTCAAGCAAAGGACACTCAACTAAAATGTGATGAACTGTTTCCAGCTCTCCACATTTGCAGTTGTAACTATCCTTTTCAATTCCAAACTTTTTAAACCATGCGCCAAAGTTGCCATGGCCTGTGCGAAACTGAGTAATATTACTCAAGATCCTTCGACTATCTTTCTTCATGATCACTCCCGTAACCATTTTGGAAAGATTATCAGTACATTTCGACTCCACTGTGATATTATGATACCACAGATCCTTACTGCTGTTCCAATACATTTCTTGCCATTCTTCCATTGCTTGTTTCTTCAAAATTCCAATCGTCTGATTTTGTTGTTGTTTCAGTGTAAGAGGTTCAACCCTCTTGCATTTTCGTTTTTCATCCTTTTTAATCATATAGTCTCTATCATCTTTCGCCAACATGTAAAGCGTGGTTAGCTTTGCAATTGGAGATTTCTCAATCAATGTTAACAAATGACCATTAATAGGATTAGTTTTGCTAATATTTAGGTGTAAACGAATAGCTTTTCGTGCCACCATAAATTTTAGCCTAATACTATATGGCATAATACCAGCTTCCTTTTGTAGTACCGCAATAGGAGTTGTGCGATAAGCACCAACAATTCTTCTTAAAGCCATATTCTGCATTACTTCCAACTTGTGGATTTCTCCTTTCAAAATTTTGTGATGCCAAATTTCTAAGCCATATTCGACAATTGGTCTCACGCAAGCAATATACAGTGATCTGACTGCAGACCCTCGCATACCTTTTTTGCACGCCACCAAGATGCCAAATAGCACCAACAGCTTTTCTTGCTTTATTGATTTTATTCAAAATATGAGATTTAAAATCAAGCAGATTGTTCAAAGTAATTCCAAGCAATTTAACTTCCTTCTGGGGTTCACGAAGTTCTCCATTAGGTAAAGTAAGTTGCACTTTCTCATCTTTAGGTTTCACATTTTTGTAAAATGAATAAAACCCAATTTATCACCCAAATCAATTTTGGTCATTCTTGATTTAGCCCAATTACAACATTTTTCTAATATGTTGCTTAAGCTTTTGGTATTTTCTTCAATTTTACCTTCAACGGTAATAGTCACATCATCAATAAAGCCAAAAGGAGTTCCACCCCATTCTTTAATGGCATGATACATTGGTGTGGAATATATCAAAAAAGTAGTGGTGAAATAGGTGAGCCTTGCGGAATTCCAGTACTAATTTTTGCACTGATCCTTTCTTCGGTCCATGAGCATACTAGCTTCTCTTTCACTTACAAATTGGTACGTCCAGTTTATAAGTGCTTTGGGTAGTTTCATATCCTCCATTGTGTCTGCCAATATATTTCTGTTAACATTATCAAAAGCTCCTTGAATATCAATGAGCATAGCTGAAATTTTTTCTTTACTAGTTTCAATTCTTTGGACAAGTTCCAAAACAGCATCAGTAGCACAATAACCTTGTCTTCCCCCATATTGCTCTGGTGGAAGTAAGTGTGTTGTAAGCTTGGTCATTCTTTTTTGTATAATTTTTTCCAGTACTTTAGATGGAATCTTAAGTAAGGAAATTGGTCGGTATGCTCTTGGCTTTGAATAGTCAGGTTTCTTAGGTTTAGGTATAACAACAATAATGCCATGTCTCCAGACTTTTGGGTGGTATCCAAACTTTACACAAGCTTGGAGAAGCTTGAAAAACCTTTCCTTAAAGTCTTTATTTAGCCATGCCATCTTTAAAACTTTGCCAGTAATTCCATCGTCTCCTGGAGCTTTATCATTTGGGGTATCAGCCAATGCAGAGTCAACTTCATCAAACTCTAATTTTGGCCATCGAGAATCGTCATCAATTTCAAACTCTCTATCAAGACCATGATCAATTTCAGGTAGAAGTGCCTTCCATATTTCATGTCTTTTTTCGTCAACAGTAGTAGTGAGAGTTCCATCTTCTTTTCTAATTTGTGGTATAATGGTATCATTGCTTTTTGGATTAATATACTTCAAAATCTTCCAAATGTCATTTCCTTCTAAACTAGACAAATATTTATTCCATTGCTCAGTACTTGCCTCACGCAAACTGTGGTCAAAAATTTTTCTAGCTTTTTTCGCCTCTTCAATTTTTTGTCGTTTCAAAGCCAAAGAAGGTTGTCTTTGACGGGCTTCCCTTTTAGCTTCTAGCGCTTTTTCTAACTTCTCCCTTAATTCTTGATTCCAATAGCGTTTGGACTTTTTCATCACCTTAACTTCCTTCATCGACTTTGCCATTGCTCTTTTACAACCTCCTCAAGAACTTTAGCTTGGTCATCAATTTGGTCAGTTGATTTTAGAGTTTTGTTATGCACATTAAAATCTTTAATGGCAGAAGAAAGCTCCTTGTCAAACTTTTCCCAATCTGCATTCTTAATATTCAATCTCTTCACCGAAATAAAAACTTCATCCCCGTTTTTACTCTGAGACATATAAATGTCCCACTCCACAATTGAGTGATCACTTAGTGTATTTTCATCCACTCCACTAAATGAAATTCTATGAAGTAAGTCCACTGAGCCATAAACCAAATCAATATTGGTTCTATTGTTGTATGTTTTTTGATTTCTTGGAGTAATTAACATCATATCATTTTCATGTAGCCACTCAACAACTTCATCTGCTTCCGTATTCGGACCTGCCCTTGACTCCCATTCCTTGTGATGTAAGTTATAATCACCTGCAATGACAATCTTTGAGTATTGTTCCTTGATCTCCCGTTTGAGAAACTCAAAAACCGGTGGCTCAGGGTATTTCTTGGATGGTTTCGGTTGATTATAGACATTGACAATTGTAATGTCTTTAACCAAAATGGTAACCATATCTCGATTTGTAAACTTTTCAATTTTAGTAGTTAATGCTCGTAAGTCAGAGTTAGACCTAATGTAAGTAATTGCTCTGCATTTATTTTTTTCTTTTCCAGTTTCTGTAAAGATTGGGATCCAATCTTTATGTTTAATGGGCCCATAGTTGTTAAAGTAAGGTTCTTGTAATAACAAGATATCAGGTTCTTTTTATCTAAGATAGTTTCAGTAATAGATTTCGATTTATGACAATTGAGTTGGAATACTTTATAATTCATTGGATGTAATAGAATTGTTTTCGTTTTCTTCCTCATTGGATTCATCTAGTTCTTCAATATTTGTTTCTTTCATCGGTTCATCTTGTGAGTCGTCAGTGGAAACAGGATGGGCCTCATTATCCTTTTGTCTGATTCATTTTTCAATAATCGTATCTTATTACGCATAGCTTGGAGTTCTTCAGGAGTTTTTTTCTGCTAATAAAAGGTCTAACTTTAACTTTTGTGTACTGGATAATAAGATTATCAGCACACTTTGCATAGTCTTGGGCATTTCTGAATGAAACCAATGCTGTTTGGGTAAATTGGTTTCTGCTAATGATTTTGGGTTCGGTATTCAAAACAATATGGTAATCATTAAAATTGTAGAGAGTTTCTTTCAAGTCTTCAATCGATGCCGTATTAGGTATTTCCTGAAGTACAGCCTTGTACCAAGAATCTGTGTCAAGCACTGAATAAGTAGGGTCAACTTTGGGGATCCATTCTGCAGCTTTATCAGCAAAATCTTTGTCATTAAGTTGAACATATAAATGCCCTTTGACAGTATAGCCTATTTCCTGAGCCACCGGCTTTTGTGCAACCGCATCAATTTTCTTTCCAATCGCAGGGATATTAACTCTTTTCATGGTATCTGGAATTCTTATGCACACTCTAAAAGTGGGTTTGTCTTCATCAACTTTAGTTTCACGGTGTTGTTTTTGAGCCTTCATAATGTCTTTCAACTTTGGAGTTGCTCCATTTGGAGTTTTAGGGGTCAAAGCAAAAGGCAAAGTGTCGACTTTTCTTACCGCACTCTTGATTTCCTTTTTTGCGTAGCTAAGTTCTTTGGTAGTTAAATCAGCCTTAGTTGAAATAGTTCCAACTTTGTATTCCATATTATCAACTCTTTTCTCAAGATTGTTGGTCATTTCTTTGAATTCCTTGATTTCAGTGTCGATAATTCTTTTGTTTCTTGCTTTTTCTTGAGACAAATCTTGAAGAGTCATCTTAGCTATTTCATCAGCTTTATGTTTCACTTTATCGCAATGATCCTTATTATCCTTAACTTCCTTTTTAAGTTTTTCAAACATTACATGTTTAACTTCTGTGTGAACCTGATTGTTTCTCAAAACATCAAGTTCTGAGCGAAGAGAATTCACTTGTCCTTCTGAAGCTTTAAGCTTTTCGGTCAAAGCAATGAGTTGTTTAGCTAACTCATTGTTTTTAAGTTCAAGATTTTGAAATTTTATTTCCCAATCTTCAATTGTAATACTCAAGTCTTCTTTAACAATAGACAATTCAACCAGAAATACATCCTTAAGTTTTAAGATGTATTCCCAGGCTTCAGAATTATCACCAAATGGATTTGCATCCGGCATGAGAACATCCATGTCACGTGATGGTGTTGCGTCAATTTCCACATCACCACCATCTGGTGAAGAGTCAAAGGTAGGGTTCAAGGTTGGACCAACATTCACAATAGGGGTTTCAACGGGGGTTTCGTGGTTTGAAGAAGCATTATGCTTATCATTCGATTCAAGCTTTTTGTGGATAGTTTCAATTTTTTTATGGGAGTCTGGTTTTTCATTATTTTTTTGGATTTTTGTCGAGGGTTTGATGTGATGAGCTTCATGAGAATGAGGTCCTCTGGAATGAGAACTTTCTTTCTCCTTCAGTTCAACAGCAATAATTTTTTGCATATCATTAATATTAGTCTGTTCATTATTATTGTCGGTATAATTATTGTCGGCAGGAGGGTCGCCGCCACTAAACGTGGTTTGGGTGTTGTTGGGGGGGTCTGACATGGTTTTTATTGATGTTAAAAAACCCCCAAAGGTTTTGTAGTTTTTTACAAATCTAAATTATTCAAAGCCCTTTTTAGTAAAAAGAACATCAAATTGGGCACTATGGCCGAGCGGTTAAGGCGAAAGACTTGAATATTTAATCTCAAGCCATCTTTTGGGATTTCCCTCGCAGGTTCGAATCCTGCTGGTGTCGATATCTTTTTAAAATCTTTAGTTTTTATTTCAATTGATTTAACAATTTAATTTTTTTTTTGAAATTTGAAAGTTGCTTTTAAGAGGATGGTGTTGTGGTAACCCCCTTTTTTTTCTCTCTCTCTCCCATAATCTATTTTTACTGAAAATCTTTAGTGATGATAAGGCTGTGTAATGGAATTTTTAATTTTCTAGTCGATATTTCTTTATGGGTTAGGGTTAATATTTTTTTTTTTTTTTTTTCTTTGCACACAAAATTTTTTATTTTTTTTTTTTTTTTTTTTTCACGTTAGTCTACAGAGTTTATTAAAGTATCTAAATGGATTCAAAATTAAACGAGACTTTTTGATCAAAAGAAGATATCACATTAATCCATTGAAGGATAGCATTAAAATAAAATAAAATAAAATTTACCATATATTTTATTTTACATTACATTCAATTAAACATGTCTTCGAAAGTTGAATTAAGCAGCAATAACAACAATCTAAATACAACAGAGGCCAAACCATTATGGCTTTCAAGCGCAACATTTGCACGAGTTGATCCGGAACTTTACTTTGAACGACACTTGCGCCAAGGAC